AGAGAGAGAGAGAGAGAGAGAGAGAGAGAGAGAGAGAGAGAGAGAGAGAGAGAGAGAGAGAGAGAGTAACTCAGTGGGGCCACAGAGCTGCCATTTTGTACGCGAAGCGATTATAGGAAGAGTGGTGTGGGGCAGAGCAGGAACTGGAACGGGAGAGAGAGCAGCAGGTGCGCGAAGAGAGGAGGTGGAGGAAGAAGAGGGGGAGGGGGACGAGGAGAACGGTAACGACAAGGAGGGAGAGTGGGATGGGAGGAGGGGATGTTGCTGTCATTGTCACGCGACCAGTCTGCATGTCCGCGCTGCGTCCGCGAGTACGACGAGCAATCTAGCCAAGAGTGCCGCGACCGATGGGCGGATCGAAAGACGTGGCCGTCTGTCGATAGCTGCCGGCATGCTGTTGCAGGGAGAGCAGGCGGAGGTGGGAGACGACGGACGAGTAGCTCAAGGAGGAGGAGGAGGCTGAGGGAGGAGGAGGCGGATCAGAACCTGCGTTCTGGAGAGAAGTGGGATCTTTCTAATAATAGATCTTTGGCGATAAGCCCTCGACACACGACCCTTCCTCCTGCCATTTTCTGTTTCTTTTCCGGCTCGAGTCTACCTCTTTTTCCCCTACCCTCTCTCTCTCTCTCTCACACACACACACACACACACACACATACACATCTACTGCACACAAACCTCCATCCTCTCGCACTCGCCTTAGCCGCCGGGCCAAGGGCAATCAATCTCCAGTCCAATCCTCTGCTTCTCCCAGGAGAGAGCGAGCAGAGGATGAACTGCCGTCCCCCAAGCTATCATGCTGGGCAAGGAAAGCAGCAAAAATGCGGCTCTGCAAAGCCGCCGCCTGAGATTGCGTTGCCTGATGCCTCTCTCTTAGCATCCGCCCGCTGCCGTTGATTGAAACCGTAAGGGAACATAAGGTGGGTGAGTTTCTGACTGATGATGGGAGGATAGGGAAGTCCGAAGTAGAAGAGACATTGCCAAAAAGGCACGTCTTTGGGTAGGACGGCGACTCCCACGCCGACCTTTTTAACTGGGTCCGCTGCAGCGAAGCAGTCACGGACGAGGGATTGAGACGAGCATGCAGCAGCTGCAGCAGCAGCAGCGGCATTGCGTAGTTCCCGCACTCGTCGTTCTTAGCAGTAGTCGTAGGCAGGAATAGGAGGTGGATGAGGAGAGGACAAGGACGTGGAGGAGGAGAGGACAAGGAGAAAATTACGGGGCAACATTGATTAGCATAGGGATACCATCGCTTGGGCTGGGGTAAATCCGCCGATGGCGCGGGCAGATCCGCGGCCTCAGTCGTGATTTTCCCGTTCCTCGGTCTGCATCTGCATCTTCAAAGAGTGTGCAGAAGATCAGCAGAGACGTCCCAGCACCGTTTCCCCTTCTTCCCCCCCCCCCTCCCCCTCTTCCTTCCCCCTCCCCAAAGGACACTAGAAGCGCAAGCCTCCCCCCCCGAACCTCCCGCACGCCTCGCCCACGCATCCTTTTCCTGCGCGCGCCATCGGCGGCTTGCCGACCTTTCCTTTGCATAGGCTTCCTGCGCGCCATCGGCGGCTTGCCGACCATTCCTGCGCGCGCCATCGGCGGCTTCCCACCCCCCCAAAGGACGAGGGATTGAGACGAGCATGTAGCAGCTGCAGCAGCACCTGCTTCTTCCGAGTCGCCGTCTCAAGGCGCGGCTCAGACTTTTGGCTTACTTAGCAACCGTTTGCGCGGGCTCGGCGCCAATGAATTGATTGAAATTTGGAAACGAAGATAGCGTAGACATTCGTCCACATCGAGATAGAATCCCCTGCTTGGATACATGATGGGTGTGGGGGTCAGCCGCTCAGCATATCAAGAAGCAGCCCGCCAATCGAGTCAATCGACTGCGTGGTAACCAATAGGACCTTGTCTCGTGAAGTCGCCTCTCAAATCTCCTACCTTTCCTCATTGACTAGCCTGCCCGAGAGAGCCACGGAGACGAGCACAGACATACATACACAAAAGCAGGAAAAAACGGGCTGAGAATCGCACGCACACACACACAGACACACACACACACACACAGAGAGAGAGAGAGAGAGAGAGAGAGAGAGAGAGAGAGAGAGAGAGAGAGAGAGAGAGAGAGAG